GGCACGCTCCTGGACCATGCAAGCTCTTGGACCAGGCAGGCTTCTGGACCAAGCAAGCTCTTGGAACAGGCAAGCTCCTGGACCAGGCAAGCTCCTGGACCAGGCAAGCTCCTCGACAAGGCACGCTCGTGGACCATGCACGCTCCTGGCCCACGCAAGCTCCTAAACCAGGCAAGCTCCTGGACCAATCAAGCTCCTGGACCACGCAAGCTCTTGGACCAGGCAAGCTCCTGGACCACGCAAGCTCCTAGACCAGGCACGCTCGTGGACCACGCAAGCTCCTGGACCAGGCACGCTCGTGGACCATGCACGCTCTTGGACCAGGCAAGCTCTTGGACCAGGAAGGCTCGTGGACCATGCAAGCTCCTGGACCAGGCCAGCTCCTAGACCAGGCAAGCTCTTGGACCAGGAAGGCTCGTGGACCAGGCAAGCTCCTGGACCTGGCAAGCTCCTGGACCAGGCACGCTTTTGGACAAGGCACGCTCTTGGACCAGGCAAGCTCCTGGACCAGGCAAGCTACTGGACTAGGCAAGCTAACGGACCAAGAAAGCTCCTGGACAAGGCAAGCTCCTAGACCAGGCACGCTCGTGGAAAAGGCAAGCTCCTGGACCAGGCAAGCTCCTTGACCAGGCAAGCTCCTTGACCGGGCAAAGCTCCAGGACAAGGCAAGCTCCAGGACCAGGTAAGCTCGTCGACAACGTAAGCTCTTGGACCAGGCAAGCTCCTTGACCAGGCGCGCTCCTGGACTGGGCAAGCTCTTGGACCAGACAAGCTCCTAGACCAGGCAAGCTCTTGGACCAGGCAAGCTCCTAGACCAGGCAAGCTCCTGGACCAGGAAAGCTCCTGGACCACGCAAGCTCTTGGACCAGGCAAGCTCCTTGACGAGGCACGCTCCTGGACCACGCAAGCTCTTGGATCAGGGAAGCTCCTTGACCACGCACGCTCGTGGACCAAGCAAGCTGCTCAACCAGGCAAGCTCCTAGAATAGGCAAGCTCTTCGACCAGGCAAGCTCCTAGATCGGCAAGCTCTTGGACCAGGAAAGCTCCTGGACCACGCAAGCTCTTGGATCAGGCAAGCTCCTGGCCTAGTGAAGCTCGTGGACCAGGCAAGCTCTTGGACCAGGCAAGCTCTAGGACCACGCAAGCTCGTGGACCAGGCAAGCTCTTGGACCAGGCAAGCTCCTGGACAAAGCAAGCTCCTGGACCAGGCAAGCTCCTCGACCACGCAAGCTCTTGGACCAGACAAGCTCCTGGAGCAGGCAAGCTCCTGGACCGGGCACGTTCTTGGACCACGCAAGCTGATGGACCAGGCAAGCTCCTAGAACAGGCAAGCTCCTGGACCAGGCAAGCTCCTGGACGACGCAAGCTCTTGGACCAGGCAAGCTCTTGGATAAGGCAAGCTCCTGGACTTGGCAAGCTCCTCGACCACCGAAGCTCCTGGACCAGGCAAGCTCTTGGACAAGGCACGCTCCTGGACCAGCCAAGCTCTTGGACCAGGCAGGCTTCTGGACCAAGGAAGCTCTTGGACCAGTCAAGCTCCTGGACCAGGCAAGCTCTAAGACCAGGCAAGCTCTTGGACTAGGAACGCTCGTGAACCATGCACGCTCCTGGACCAGGAAAGCTCTTGGACCAGGCAGGCTCGTGGACCAAGCAAGCTCCTCGACCAGGCAAGCTCCTGGACCAGGCACGCTCCTGGACCAGGCAAGCTCTTAGACCAGGCAAGCTCCTGGACCAGGCAAGCTCCTAGACCAGGCAAGCTCCTGGACCAGGCAAGCTCTTGGACCAGGAAAGCTCCTATACCAGGCAAGCTCATGGACCAGGCAAGCTAACGGACCAAGAAAGCTCCTGGACAAGGCAAGCTCCTGGACCAGGCACACTCGTGGAACAGGCAAGCTCCTGGACCAGGCAAGCTTCTGGACCAGGCAAACTCCTGGACCAGGCAAGCTCCTAGACCAGGCAAGCTCCAAGACCAGGCAAGCTCTTGGACCAGGCAAGTTCATGGACCACGCAAGCTCCTAAACCAGGCAAGCTCTTGGACCAGGCAAGCTCCTGGACGAGGCAAGCTCCTTGACCTGGCAAGCGCCTGGACCACGCAAGCTCTTGGACCAGGCACGCTCTTGGACCACGCAAGCTCTTGGACCAAGCAAGCTTCTGGACCAAGCAAGCTCTTGGAACAGGCAAGCTCCTGGACCAGGCAAGCTCCTGGACCAGGTACGCTCGTGGACCATGCACGCTCCTGGACAAGGCAAGCTCTCGGACCAGGAAGGCTCGTGGACCAGGCAAGCTCCTGGACCAGGCAAGCTCCTGGACCAGGCAAGCTCCTAGACCACGCAAGCTCCTGGACCAGGCACGCTCGTGGACCATGCATGCTCTTGGACCAGGCAAGCTCTTGGTCCAGGCAGGCTCGTGGACCAGGCAAGCTCCTGGACCAAGCAAGCTCCTAGACAAGGCAAGCTCTTGGACCAGGCAAGCTTGTGGACCAAGCACGCTCCTGGACCAGGCACGCTCTTTGACCAGGAAAGCTCCTGGACCAGGCAAGCTCTTGGACCAGGCAAGCTAATGGACCAAGAAAGCTCCTGGACAAGGCAAGCTCCTAGACTAGGCACGCTCGTGGAACAGGCAAGCTCCTGGACCAAGCAAGCTCCTGGACCAGGATAGCTCCTCAGGCAAGCTCCTAGACCACGCAAGCTCTTGGACCAGGCAAGCTCTTGGACCAGGCAAGCTCCTGGACCAGGCAAGCTCCTGGACCAGGCAAGCTCCTGGACCACGCAAGCTCTTGGACCAGGCAAGCTCTTGGACCCGGCAAGCTCCTGGACCAGGCAAGCTCTTGGACTACCCAATCTCTTGGACCAGGCACGCTCTTGGACGAGGCAAGCTCTTGGACCTGGCAGGCTTCAGGACCAAGCGCTTGGACCAGGCAAGCTCGTGGACCAGGGAAGCTATTGGACCAGGCAAGCTCCTGGACCAGGCAGGCTCGTGGACCAGGCAAGCTCAAAGACCAGGCAAGCTCCGTGACCAGGTAAGCTCGTGGACCAGGCAAGCTCAAAGACCAGGCAAGCTCCGTGACTAGGCAAGCTCTTGGACCAGGAAAGCTCCTAGACCAGGCGAGCTCCTGGACCAGGCAAGCTAACGGACCAAGAAAGCTCCTGGACAAGGCAAGCTCATGGACCAGGCACGCTCGTGGAACAGGCAAGCTCCTAGACCAGGCAAGCTCCTGGACCAGGCAAGCTCCTGGACCAGGCAAACTCGTGGACCAGGCACGCTCCAGGACCGGGCAAGGTCCTAGATGAGGCAAGCTCGTGGACCAGACAAGCTCCTGGACCACGCAAGCTCCTGGACCAGGCAAGCTCTTGGACCAGGCAAGCTCTTGGACGAGGCAAACTTCGGGACCACGCAAGCTCTTGGACCATGCAAGCTCTTTGACTAAGCAAGATCTTGGACGAGGCAAGCTCTAGGACCAGGCAAGCTCCTAGACATGGCAAGCTCCTGGACAAGGATAGCTCCTGGACCAGGCAAGCTCCTGGACCAGGCACGCTCGTGGACCATGCAAGCTCCTAGACCAAGCAAGCTCCTGGACCAGGCACGCTCCTCGAACAGGTAAGCTCCTGGACAAGGCAAGCTCGTGGACCAGGCAAGCTCCTGGACCACGCAAGCTCCTGGAGCAGGCAAACTCCTGGAGGAGGCAAACTTCAGGACCAGGCAAGCTCTGAGACCAGGCACGCTCTTTGACCAAGCAAGATCTTGGACCAGGCAAGCTCTAGGACCAGGCAAGCTCCTGGACAAGGCAAGCTCCTAGACCAGGATAACTCCTGGACCAGGCATGCTCCTGTACCAAGCACGCTCCAGGACCATGCAAGCTCCTACACCAGGCAAGCTCCTAGGCCAGGCAAGCTTTTGGACCAGGCAAACTCGTGGACCAGGCATGCTCCTGGACCAGGCAAGCTCCTGGACCAAGCAAGCACCTAGACAAGGTAAGCTCCTGGACCAGGCAAGCTCCTGGACCACGCAAGCTCTTGTACTAGGCAAGCTCTTGGACCAGGCAAGCTCCTAGACCAGGCAAGCTCCTAGACCAGGCGAGCTCCTGGACCACGCAAGTTCATGGACCACGCAAGCTATTGGACCAGGCAGGCTTCTAGACCAAGCAAGCTCTTGGACCAGGCAAGCTCTTGGACCAGGCTAGCTCCTGGACCAGGCAAGATCCTGGACTAGGCACGCTTGTGAACCATGCAAGCTCTTGGACCAGGCAGGCTCGTGGACCAGGCAAGCTCATGGACCAGGCAATCTCCAGGACTAGGCAAGCTCCTTGACCACGCAAGCTCCTAGACCAAGCAAGCTCTTGGACCAGGCAGGCTTCTGGAACCAGGCAAGCTCTTGGACCAGGCAAGCTTCTGGAACAAGCAAGCTCTTGGACCAGGCACACTCCTGGACCAGGCACGCTCCTAGACCAGGCAAGCTCCTGGACCAGGCAAGCTCTTCGACAAGGCAAGCTCCTGGACCAAGCACGCTACTGGACGAGGCAAGCTCCTAGACCAGGCAAGCTCTTGGACTGGGCACGCTCCTGAACCAGGCAAGCTCTTGGACCAGGCAAGCTTCTGGACCAAGCAAGCTCCTTGACCAGGCGCAAACCAGGACCAGGCACGCTCCTGGACAAGGCAAGCTCCTGGACCAGGCAAGCTCCTGGACAAGGCAAGCTCCTGGACCAGGCACGCTCCTGGACCAGGCACGCTCTTGGACCAGGCAAGCTCCTGGTCTAGGCAAGCTCCTGGACATGGACGTGGACATGGACGTGGACATGGACGTGGACGTGGACATGGACGTGGACATGGACGTGGACGTGGACATGGACGTGGACGTGGACGTGGACATAAACCTGGACGTGGACATGGACGTGGACGTGGATGTGGACGTGGACATGGACATGGATGTGGACGTAGAGGTGGCATGGACATGGACGTGGACGTGGACGTGGACGTGGCTTGGATGTGGACGTGGACGTTGACATGGACATGGACGTGGACATGGACATGGACGTGGACATGGACGTGGACATGGACGTGGACCTGGACGTGGACGTGGACGTGGACGTGGACGTGGCCATTGTCCTGGACGTGGACATGAACGTGGACATTGTCGTGGACGTGGACGTAGACGTGGACGTGGACGTGGTCGTGGACGTGGACGTGGACGTGGACGTGGACATGGACGTGGATGTGGACGTGGACATGGACGTGGACATGGACGTGGAGGACTTGGACGTGGACATGGACGTGGACGTGGACGTGGACGTGGACATGGACATGGACGTGGACATGGACGTGGACATGGACGTGGACATGGACATGGACGTGGACGTGGACGTGGACGTGGACATTGTCGTGGACGTGGACGTGAACGTGGACATTGTCGTGGACATGGACGTAGACGTGGACGTGGACGTGGACATTGTCGTGGACGTGGACATTGTCGTGGACGTGGTCGTGGACGTGGACGTGGACGTGGACGTGGACGTGGACATGGACGTGGACGTGGACGTGGACATGGACGTGGATGTGGACGTGGAGGACTTGGACGTGGACATGGACGTGGACGTGGACTTGGACGTGGACATGGACGTGGACGTGGACGTGGACGTGGACGTGGACATGGACGTGGACAGGGACGTGGACGTGGACGTGGACGTGGACGTAGACGTGGAGGACTTGGACGTGGACATGGACGTGGACGTGGACGTGGACATGGACGTAGAGGACTTTGACGTGGAGGACTTGGACGTGGACGTGGACGTGGACGTGGACGTGGACATGGACGTGGACGTGGACGTGGACGTGGACATAGACGTGGAGGACTTGGACGTGGACATGGACGTGGACGTGGACGTGGACGTGGACGTGGACATGGACGTAGAGGACTTTGACGTGGAGGACTTGGACGTGGATGTGGACGTGGACGTGGACGTGGACATGGACATGGACGTGGACGTGGACGTGGACGTGGACATGGACGTGGACATGGACGTGGACATGGACGTGGACATGGACATGGACGTGGACGTGGACGTGGACATGGACGTGGACGTGGACGTGGACGTCGATATTGTCGTGGACGTGGACGTGGACGTGGACATTGTCGTGGACGTGGACGTATACGTGGACGTGGACGTGGTCGTGGACGTGGACGTGGACGTGGACATGGACGTGGACGTGGACGTGGACCTGGACGTGGAGATGGACGTGGAGGACTTGGACGTGGAGATGGACGTGGACGTGGACGTGGACGTGGACGTGGACATGGACGTGGACGTGGACGTGGACGTGGACGTAGACGTGGACGTGGACGTGGACGTGGACGTGTACGTGGACGTGGACGTGGACGTGGACGTGGACCTGGACGTGGAGATGGACGTGGAGGACTTGGACGTGGAGATGGAGGTGGACGTGGACGTGGACGTGGACGTGGACATGGACGTGGACGTGGACATGGACGTGGACGTAGACGTGGACGTGGACGTGGACGTGTACGTGGACGTGGACGACTTGGACGTGGACGTGGTCGTGTACATGGACGTGGACGTGGACATGGACGTGGACATGGACGTGGACGTGGACGTGGACGTGGACATGGACGTGGACGTGGACATGGACGTGGACATGGACGTGGTCGTGTACGTGGACGTGGACGTGGACATGGACGTGGACGTGGACGTGGACGTCGACATTGTCGTGGACGTGGACGTGGACGTGGACATTGTCGTGGACGTGGCAAGCTCTTGGACCAGGCAGGCTCGTGGACCAGGCAAGCTCGTGGACCAGGCAAGCTCTTGGACCACGCAAGCTCCTGGATCAGGCTAGCTCCTTGACCACGGAAGCTTGTGGACCATGCGCTCCTGGACCAAGCAAGCTCCTGGACCAGGCAAACTCCTGGACCACGCAAGCTCTTGGACCAGGCAAGCTCTTGGACCAGGCAAGCTCCAGGAACAAGCAAGCTCCTGGACAAGGCAAGCTCGTGGACCAGGCACGCTCCTGGACCAGGCAAGCTCCTGGACCAGAAAAGCTCCTGGAACAGGCAAGCTCGTGGACTTGGCAAGCTCCTCGACCAGTCAAGCTCGTGGACCAGGTGAGCTCTTGGACCAGGCAAGCTCCTGGACCAGGCAAGCTCTTGGACCAGGCAAGCTCCTGGACCAGGCAGGCTTGTGGACCAAGCACGCTCCTCGACCGGGCAAGCTCCTGGACCTGGCAAGGTCCTGGACCGGGCAAGCTCCTGGACCAGGCAAGCTCCTGGGCCAGGCAAGCTCCTGGACGAGGCAAGCTCCTGGACGAGGCAAGCTCCTGGACCTGGCAAGCTCCTGGACCTGGCAAGCTCCTGGACCTGGCAAGCTCCTGGACCAGGCAAGCTCCTGGGCCAGGCAAGCTCCTGGACGAGGCAAGCTCCTGGACCAGGCAAGCTCTTGGACCAGGCAAGCTCCTGGAACAGGCAGGCTCGTGGACCAAGCACGCTCCTCCACCGGGCAAGCTCCTGGACCTGGCAAGCTCCTGGACCTGGCAAGCTCCTGGACCACGCAAGCTCTTGGACCAAGCACGCTCCTTGACCAGGCAAGCTCTTGGACCAGGCAAGCTTCTGAACGAAGCAAGCTCCGGGACCAGGCAAGCTCCTGGACTAAGCACGCTCCTAGACAAGGCAAGCTCCTGGACCAGGCAAGCTCCTGGACCAGGCAAGCTCCAGGACAAGGCAAGCTTATCGACCAGGCAAGCTACAGGACCAGGCAAACTCGTGGACCAGGCACCCTCCTGGACCAGGCAAGGTCCTGGACCAGGTAAGCTCTTGGACCAGGCAAGCTCCTGGATCAGGCAAGCTCCTAGTCCAGGCACGCTCCTAGACGGAGCAAGCTCCTAGACCAGGCAAGGTCCTCGACCAGGCAAGCTTATGGACCAGGCAAGCTCGTGGACCAGGCACGCTCCTGGACCTGGCAAGCTCCTGGACCAGGCAAGCTCCTGGACCGCGCAAGCTCATGGACCAAGCAAGCTCTTAGACCAGGCAAGCTCGAGGAGCAGGCAAGCTCTTGGACAAGGCAAGCTCGTGGACCAGGCACGCTCCTGGACCAGGCAAGCTCTAGGACCAGGCAAGCTCTAGCACCAGGCAAGCTCCTGGACCAGGCAAGCTTTTGGAACAGGCAAGCTCCTGGACTTGGCAAGCTCCTGGAGCAGGTTAGCTCGTGGACCAGGCATGCTCCTGGACCGGGCAAGCTCGTGGACCAGGCAAGCTCCTGGACCACGCAAGCTCCTGGACCAGGCAAGCTCCTGGAAAAGGCAAGCTCCTGGACCAGGCAAGCTGTTGGACCAGGCAAGCTCCTGGACCAGGCATGCTCGTGGACCAAGCACGCTCGTGGACCGGGCAAGCTCCTGGACCTGGCAAGCTCCTGGACCACGCAAGCTCTTGGACCAGGCACGCTCTTGGACCGGGCAAGCCCCTGGACCTGGCAAGCTCCTAGACCTGGCAAGCTCTTGGACCAGGCAGGCTCGTGGACTAGGCAAGCTCTTGTACCAGACAAGCTCCTGGATCAAGCAAGCTCCTGGACCACGCAAGCTCCTCGACTAGGCACGCTTGTGGACCAGGCAGTCTCGTGGACCAGGCACGCTCGTGGACCAGGCACGCTCGTGGACCAGGCAAGCTCTTGGATCAAGCAGGCTCGTGGACCAGGCACACTCCTGGACCAGGCAAGCTCCACGGTCCAGGAGCTTGCCTCGTCCAAGAGCTTGCCTGGTCCAGGAGCGTGCCTTGTCCAAGAGCTTGCCTAGTCTAGGAGCTTTCCTAGTCCAGGAGCTTCCTTGGTCCAGGAGCTTGCTTGGTCAAGTTGCTTGCTTGGTCCAGGAGCTTGCCTGGTCCAGGAGCTTGCTTGGTCCATAAGCCTGCCTGGTCCAAGAGCTTGCCTGGTTCAGGAGCGTGCCTGGTCCAAGAGCTTGTGTGGTCCAGGAGCTTGCCATGTCCAGGAGCTTGCTTGGTCTAGGAGCGTGCCTGGTCCACGAGCCTGCCTGGTCTAGGAGCTTGGCTGGTCCAACAGCTTGCCTGGTCAAGGATCTTGCCTGGTCCAGGAGCTTGCCTGGTCCAGGAGCTTACCTAGTCGACGAGCTTGCCTGGTCCAGGAGCTTACCTGGACGACGATCTTGCCTGGTCCAGGAGCTTGCCTGGTCCAGGAGCTTGCCTGGTCCAGGAGCTTGCCTTGTCCATGAGAATGTCTGGTCCAGGAGCTCGCCTGCTCTATAAGCTTGCCTAGTCCAAGAGCTTGCCTGGTCCAAAAGCTTGCGTGGTCCAGGAGCTTGCCTGGTCCAGTAGCTTGCCTGGTTTAGGAGCGTGCCTGGTCCACGAGCTCGCCTGGTCCAGGAGCTTGCTTGGTCCAGGACCTTGCCTGGTCCATGAGCGTGCTAGGTCTAGGAGCTTGCGTGATCCAGGAGCTTGCCTCGTCCAGGAGCTTGCCTGGTCCAGGATCTTGCCTGGTCAAGGAGCGTGCTTGGTCCACGAGTTTGCCTGGTCCAGGAGCTTGCCTGGTCCAGGAGCTCCCCTGGTCGAGGAGCGTGCCTGGTCCACGAGCGTTCCTGGTCCAAGAGCTTGCGTGGTCCAGGAGCTTGCTTGAACTTGGAGCTTGCCTGGTCCTAGAGCTAGCCTGGTCCAGGAGCTTGCTTGGTCTAGGAGCTTGCGTGGTCAAGGAGCTTGCCTGGTCCAGGAGCTTGCCTGGTCCAGGAGCTTGCCTGGTCCAGGAGCTTGCTTGGTCCAGAAGCCTGCCTTGTCCAAGAGCTTGCCTGGTCGAGGAGCGTGCCTGGTCCAAGAGCTTGCGTGGTCCAGGAGCTTGCCTGGTCCAGGAGCTTGCTTGGTCCAGAAGCGTGCCTGGTCCAAGAGCTTGCATGGTCCACGAGCGTGCCTGGTCCAAGAGCTTGCGTGGTCCAGGAGCTTGCCTGGTCCATAGGCTTGCCTGGTCTAGGAGCGTGCCTTGTCCACGAGCTTGCCTTGTCCAGGAGCGTGCCTAGTCCAAGAGCGTGCCTGGTCCATGAGCTTGCCTGATCCAGGAGCTTGCCTGGTCCACGAGTCTGCTTGGTCGAAGAGCTTGCGTGGTCTAGGAGCATGCCTGGTCCAAGACCTTGCATGGTCCAAGAGCTTGCTTGGTCCAGGAGCTTGCCCGGTCCAGGAGCGTGCCTGGTCCACGAGCCTGCTTGGTCCAGGAGCTTGCCGGGTCCAGGAGCTTGCCTGGTTCAGGAGCTTGCTTGGTCCAGAAGCTTGCCTGGTCCAATAGCTTGCCTGGTCCAGGAGCGTGCCTGGACCAAGAGCTTGCGTGGTCTAGGAGCTTGCCTGGTCCAGGCGCGTGCTTGGTCCAGGAGCGTGCCTGGTCCAGGAGCTTGCCTGGTCCAGGAACTTGCCTGGTCCAGGAGCTTGCCTATTCCAGGACCGTTCTTCGTCCACAAGCCTGCCTAGTCCAAGAGCTTGCCTGGTCCAAGAGAGTGTCTGGTCCATGAGCGTGCCTGGTCTAAGGGCTTTCGTGGTCCAGGAGCTTGCCTGGTCCAGGAGCTTGCCGTGTCCAGGAGCTTGCCTGGTTCAGGAGCTTGCTTGGTCCAGAAGCTTGCCTGGTCCAATAGCTTGCCTGGTCCAGGAGCGTGCCTGGACCAAGAGCTTGCGTGGTCTAGGAGCTTGCCTGGTCCAGGCGCGTGCTTGGTCCAGGAGCGTGCCTGGTCCAGGAGCTTGCCTGGTCCAGGAGCTTGCCTGGTCCAGGAGCTTGCCTATTCCAGGACCGTTCTTCGTCCACAAGCCTGCCTAGTCCAAGAGCTTGCCTGGTCCAAGAGAGTGTCTGGTCCATGAGCGTGCCTGGTCTAGGAGCTTGCGTGGTCCAGGAGCTTGCCTGGTCCAGGAGCTTGCCTGGTCCAGGAGCTTGCTAGGTCCAGGAGCTTGCCTGGACCCAGAGCTTGCCTGGTCCAGGAGCTTGCCTGGTTAAGGAGCTTGCCTGGTCCAGGAGCGTGCCTGGTCTAGGAGATTGCCTGTTCCAGGAGCTTGTTTGGTCCAGAAGCGTGCCTGGTCCTAGAGCTTGCCTGTTCCAGGAGCGTGCCTGGTCCAGGAGCTTGAATTGTCCACGAGCGTGCTTGGTCCAGGAGCTTGCCTCGTCCAGGAGCTTGCCTGGTCCAGGAGCTTGCCTGGTCCAGGAGTGTGCCTGGTCCACGAGCCTGCTTGATCCAAGAGCTTGCCTGGTCCTCGAGCGTGCCTTGTCCACGAGTGTGCCTGGTCTAGGAGCGTGCCTGGTCCAAGAGCGTGCCTGGTCCATGAGCTTGCCTGATCCAGGAGCTTGCCTGGTCCACGAGTCTGCCTGGTCCAAGAGCTTCCCTGGTCCAGGAGCGTGCCTGGTCCAAGAGCTTGCGTGGTCCAGGAGCTTGCCTGGTCCAGGAGCTTGCTTGGTCCAGAAGCGTGCCTGGTCCAAGAGCTTGCATTGTCCACGAGCGTGCCTGGTCCAAGAGCTTGCGTGGTCCAGGTGCTTGCCTAGTCCATAGGCTTGCCTGGTCTAGGAGCGTGCCTTGTCCACGAGCTTGCCTTGTCCAGGAGCGTGCTTAGTCCAAGAGCGTGCCTGGTCCATGAGCTTGCCTGATCTAGGAGCTTGCATGGTCCACGAGTCTGCTTGGTCCAAGAGCTTGCCTGGTCTAGGAGCATGCCTGGTCCAAGAGCTTGCATGGTCCAAGAGCTTGCTTGGTCCAGGAGCTTGCCCGGTCCAGGAGCGTGCCTGGTCCACGAGCCTGCTTGGTCCAGGAGCTTGCCGGGTCCAGGAGCTTGCTTGGTTCAGGAGCTTGCTTGGTCCAGAAGCTTGCCTGGTCCAATAGCTTGCCTGGTCCAGGAACGTGCCTGGACCAAGAGCTTGCGTGGTCTAGGAGCTTGCCTGGTCCAGGCGCGTGCTTGGTCCAGGAGCGTGCCTGGTCCAGGAGCTTGCCTGGTCCAGGAGCTTGCCTGGTCCAGGAGCTTGCCTATTCCAGGACCGTTCTTCGTCCACGAGCCTGCCTAGTCCAAGAGCTTGCCTGGTCCAAGAGAGTGTCTGGTCCATGAGCGTGCCTGGTCTAGGAGCTTGCGTGGTCCAGGAGCTTGCCTGGTCCAGGAGCTTGCCTGGTCCAGGAGCTTGCTAGGTCCAGGAGCTTGCCTGGACCCAGAGCTTGCCTGGTCCAGGAGCTTGCCTGGTTAAGGAGCTTGCCTGGTCCAGGAGCGTGCCTGGTCTAGGAGATTGCCTGTTCCAGGAGCTTGTTTGGTCCAGAAGCGTGCCTGGTCCAAGATTTTGCCTGTTCCAGGAGCGTGCCTGGTCCAGGAGCTTTAATTGTCTACGAGCGTGCTTGGTCCAGGAGCTTGCCTCGTCCAGGAGCTTGCCTGGTCCAGGAGCTTGCCTGGTCCAGGAGTGTGCCTGGTCCACGAGCCTGCTTGATCCAAGAGCTTGCCTGGTCCTCGAGCGTGCCTTGTCCACGAGTGTGCCTGGTCTAGGAGCGTGCCTGGTCCAAGAGCGTGCCTGGTCCATGAGCTTGCCTGATCCAGGAGCTTGCCTGGTCCACGAGTCTGCCTGGTCCAAGAGCTTGCCTGGTCCAGGAGCGTGCCTGGTCCAAGAGCTTGCATGGTCCAAGAGCTTGCTTGGTCCAGGAGCTTGCCCGGTCCAGGAGCGTGCCTGGTCCACGAGCCTGCTTGGTCCAGGAGCTTGCCGGGTCCAGGAGCTTGCCTGGTTCAGGAGCTTGCTTGGTCCAGAAGCTTGCCTGGTCCAATAGCTTGCCTGGTCCAGGAGCGTGCCTGGACCAAGAGCTTGCGTGGTCTAGGAGCTTGCCTGGTCTAAGAGCGTGCTTGGTTCAGGAGCGTGCCTGGTCCAGGAGCTTGCCTGGTCCAGGAGCTTGCCTGGTCCAGGAGCTTGCCTATTCCAGGACCGTTCTTCGTCCACGAGCCTGCCTAGTCCAAGAGCTTGCCTGGTCCAAGAGAGTGTCTGGCGCATGAGCGTGCCTGGTCCAGGAGCTTGCGTGGTCCAGGAGCTTGCCTGGTCCAGGAGCTTGCCTGGTCAAGGAGCTTGCCAGGTCCAGGAGCTTGCCTGGTCCAGGAGCTTGCCAGGTCCAGGAGCTTGCCTGGTCCAAGAGAGTGTCTGGCGCATGAGCGTGCCTGGTCCAGGAGCTTGCGTGGTCTAGGAGCTTGCCAGGTCCATGAGCTTGCCTGGTCCAGGAGCATGCCAAGTCCAGGAGCTTGCCAGGTCCAGGAGCTTGCCTGGTCCAGGAGCTTGCTTGGTCCACGAGCTTGCATGGTCCAGGAGCTTGCCTGGTCTAGGAGCTCGCCTGGTTCACGAGCTTGCCTGGTCTAGGAGCTTGCCAGGTCCACGAGCTTGCCTGGTCTAGGAGCTTGCTTCATCTAGAAGCCTGACTGGTCCAAGAGCTTGCCTGGTCCACGAGCATGCTTGGTCCAAGAGCTTGCGTGGTCTCAGAGCTTGCTTGGTCCAGGAGCTTGCCTAGTCCAGGAGCTAGCCTTGTCCAGGAGCTTGCCTAGACCAGGAGCTTGCCTGGTCCAGGAGCTTGCCTAGTACAGGAGCTTCCTTGGATTAGAAGCTTGCCTGGTCCAAGAGCTTGCCTGGTCCACGAGCGTGCTTGTTCCAAGAGCTTGCGTGGTCCAGCAGCTTGCCTGGTCCGGAAGCTTGCCTGGTCCAGGAGCGTTCCTGGTCCACGAGCGTGCCTAGTCCAGGAGCTTGCTTGGTCCAGGAGCTTGCCAGGTCCAGGAGCTAGCCTGGTCCAGGAGCTTGCCTGGTCCAGGAGCTTGCCTGGTC